TGCTGAAAGCCAGAATACCCAAAGCAGCGAGTAGCTGAGAGTTTGGTACATGCTGTCTTTTAGAATTACATTAATAATTGCATGTAAGTGGCTCAAACAAAAACGTGAACTTAGTTTCATCTTCATTTCTTGCATTTACTCAGCTTGGATCTTGAGTTGCAACAGAATGTTTCCCATTGGCAGCTCCTGCCATGTGTAACTCCACCTGCTGCTCCCAATCCTGCAGCATTGGGCTAAATACAATACCTGATTAGCTGAGCGCGTTGTCCTACATTTGTCTGGTCAGCGGGACAGCAGTGGACGGAACTTGGTGAATTACGCAACTGACAAAGCTGCTGTCCCCTTCCATCCTCAAAGCCCACACGTTTCACACACAGGACAGACACTTCAAACTTGCACATTTTGTTAGGACCTGGTGAACAAGGAGTACTTGTGAATTTTCCACCCTTCTTCCTGGTTGCCTTAGATTAAGGAGCTTCTTACTGTAAGGTCAAGTATTGATTATTTTTTGGTTCAGATGCAGAGTTGCTAACTGAACACTGAACCCACTTGTGGTGAGAAGTGATTACTTGTTTTTAAGACTTTTTTTTTCAGTGCTGGTTTGCCTCATGGGAATCAGACGGTTAACTAGGAACAGCCTAAGTGCACACTACTGTTTGGGGGTTAGTTGTGTTTAAGGAGTTCTTCTTTCTCAACTTTAAGAAAGAAAATCAATGCTTTGACTGGGCAGAGGAGGGAGGATATTTTTTGGTGCATGTGAGAAGACAATTACAGTATTAATTTTCTTAAACTAATAAAGTGCAGGGATCAAAAGGCAAAGATTGAGTGTAAAACTACAAGGGGGGGGGGAGGGAATTCCATAGTTAAGTTCAATTTGGAAGTAACTTTCTTCCATCTGGGTGAGACCACACTGTGTGTGAAGTAGGATTGAGGAAAGAGTTTGTTGCACTTTGATTGCAACCTGTGCTCAACTGATGTGCCATAAAGGGACCAGGATCGATACCTATACTTCTTAAGAACTGTCATGTGTTGTTCTGCCCCCTCCAAGCCCCTCTAGATCTAAACGAATAGTAACTTCATTAGTGTACATGTTTTTCCAGTAGGGAAATAAAAACAAAGGGACAGCTTCATCCCCAGATGTAAGATTTTGTTAATGAGCTTCCCAGCAACACACACAAACTCTTTCCTGGACATTACTTGTTCTTAAGCAAGTTAAATGTTCAGCACAAGACTCCAACTAGTATCTTTAAAGCTGATAACTCTCTCATGTAAGTGGTTCCTTTTCCCTGGCCTGCCCTTTCAGAGAGGCTTTCAGCATGGAGAGCTTCAGTCTTTACTGAGAGCTCAAAGCACCCATGCTCTGTGCTGTACAACAGCAAGAAGCACTGAAAAACTCAGCAGAGTCAGGTGGTTTAGACATTCGAGCATAAGAGCAGCCAATAACATTCCCATCAGTCCCTCTGGTTTAGCTATTTCATAAAGAGCACTTCTCCACCCATCACCATTTAGCTGAACTGCACCTCTGTTTGTTATTGCCAAGACTTAGGCTATTTTCTTCATTATGCAAGCTACGTTACCATTAAATCAATAATGGCAAGAAACTTTAATACAAGTTTATTTACCAATATACAATGCAAAAACCTAGTAAAATGCTGAGTGTGCACAACATCAGTTAGGTTTTACACGATTTCAGCACAGGCATTTGTGCGTCTGGCACAGCTGCACCAGTACGCTGTTCAAATGAGTGCAACATTCCCTTTAAGGAAGGAGCTGATGGGCTGGACATGCTCACCAGGTGCCTTCCTTCACAGTATTGAATGCGTCATCGCTTAAGAGCAATTGGGGCACATGCAAAACATTTTGCAAGAAGAGACAGTAACCAAAAGGCTAATGAAGGCTGGTACAGTTGCAAAGAAATTTGATGCAGCTACTGCACAAGAGAGTAATGGCGGAGCGCTTGGTTTGTACGATTCACAAGGCAGTTCATGGTCAAAGACTCGTGCAAACCTCGTAACTGTTGTTAATGCTTGCTGGGACTGCAACAGAATGGAGGGCAGGAGGGGCTGTATCCAAAGTATTCTGTGACGAGCCCTTCTGCACCAGGTAGTACACACAGAATGGAGATTAACGCTCCCTTGTTACCTAGTGAGCAAATACTACTGTAAAACAGCACTGGGACTGGACTGGTTGAAGTAAACAGAGCATTAAAACAGACTTATTGCTGCCTCGACCAGTAGCAGAAGATCAGTATTTTGAACAGCTTATGGAGCGTCACTTTTTCATAGGCTTACATCAATGCTGTCAGGACAGGTGCTATCATTAGTAATATCTTTAATTAGAAAATTCAAGAGCATTAAGCATATAAAACACCTTTTCATTAGCAACATGAAGGCTAGGTTATTTGCACAGTACAGGAAGCACTTCCAGATCAACACAAGCTACAAGTTGAAGAGCTCTTTGCCATGTTTTTTTCTCAGCCCCTTCACCACAGAAGAGAAGCAGTGTAGCTCTATAGTAAATTGCTGGATTAACATAACTGCATCTCAACTTAAAAACAAACAAACAAAAAACAGCAGCTCATAACAAAGGAATGCTCAGACTAAATCAGTTCCATGTAAAAATACGGAACAGCAGCATCCTCTAGTGCAAGTCACCTTTAAAAGTAAAAGCATCGCTGACAATGAGACACTGCTTCTAGGGAAGCCCTTTCCAAGGGACTGGTATTTGCTAAAGCAAACATTTACCACCTTGAATTTGCTTGCAAGTATAAAATAAATATTGATATCCATATTTCATACATTAAAAATACTTTATTTTACATTCATTTTGATGTTCAATAAGTTACGTCTAGCACCAAAGAAACATTTTGGAGGGGCTGAGGAATTAAGAAACCACAAAGTGTAAATGCAGGATTCACATCAACATTTAAATGACTCATTGGTGCCTAAATTATTTTTTAAAGTTATTGTTCAGATGGACTTTAGACTATTGCTTCTGTTAGACTTAGATGTGCCAAAACTGTAAAAAATATAAAAAGCACAGATTTGAGGAAAAACAAAATAGGAAAAACTACAATGCTTTTAAACTCTGAGCTACATGCAGAGCTGATGCTCCAGAACACTATCAGGAACAGCGTCTTACGGCAGTTAGGTAGCAAGTTACAGGAAGAACCAAATTGCATAATGAGAAGACCAGAAAGAAAGGCTGAGCTTCCTCTCCACAGTAGCAAGACAGAGAAAATAACCGAGGGTTTACACCTCAGGAACCTGTGTGCCGCTGGTACATGCATATAGGGTAGGAGTTGTTCTTAAAGCTACCGAGCACGTTGCAGTTTGCTCCACTGCTGCCAAGGTGAGACGGTTTCATCTCGAGTGCTCCACAAGAAGCCACGTACAGGCAAAGCCAAACAAAGTATTACATCCAAGAGGACATAGCCCTTACCTTTTCTGAAGGGACAAAACATCACAAGCTCAAAAGAAAAAGGCACTAGAGTTTTGGTTTCTTCTTCCTTAGAAATGCTGGCTTTAGAATAAAAGGGGTACAATTACAGACTCACTGGTAACACTTTGGTAATGCTGGATGTATTAACTAAAACCCAGTTGTGATCAGTATGCCTCCGCCAAGTTGCAGAATTAATACTAGGTTAAGATTTCGTGGCATCCTCACTGACTACAGCCCAGAGCATCAAACCAAGATGACATTTCCAGTGCTTGCCCTTGTCCTGCAGCCGGTCCCACTCCATGTTTTGGCACACTGCACTCCAGAAGACCCTGCCCAACTGGCCACCAGTCACAGCCTCCTGCTCTGCACACACCAGTAACACTGCGCCGTCCTCCACGTGGCAACCACCATTCTTTATTCACTTGGATAAATACCAGCATGGGAATTTAAGGATGAAATGAGCATAAAAATCCTTTTATAGTCCTTCAACATCTTTCCCTTTATCAGTAGATCTTACTACAACAGTAGCATGGATTGGGCATTTCTGTTATGTGCTGGTGCCCGCTGCAAGCGCCCAGTTCAGGCTGCAGTTGTGCCCAGTTACCTCTCAAGGTGCTCTGCTCTCACTGCAGTGGCTGCATTCACAGTTCTCGACCATATCAGTGATTTCAACTCCAACCTGAGCAGTTCAGTACATTTCAAAGTCTGCGCAACTCGAACCCTGTGATGGCTTCACAAACAGCTCCCTGCATTAGGAGCGCAAGCTGTGCATTTTGACCTAATCTGTAGCACTTCTCATTTTTCTGGTTTTTAAGAACCAATCTCAGTGATCGCTCTCCATTTGAGAATCTTGCTCCCTTTCCCTGTCCCTCCCAAATTCAGGAGGCAGCTACACCTCATCTGCCCATACAAGCTCAGAAGTTACAGATACTGAAGGAGAAGTAGGCTCCCCCAACGAGAAGAAACCATGATTTTGCTGCCTGAGACTGCCAACTGCTGCAAGATAACTCACTGCCTCCTTTCCCAAACCCCATTTCTGGTCCAAAGCAGCCACTTCACAGCAGCGCTGACCCCTCCTCCAGAACAGCACCACAGCTGCCCTGCACTCCTGCAACTTTGCTACTAAATAGTTAATGTCAAAGCTTCAGCAGGGTTTGTTTCAGCAAAAACTCAAGTCAAAGCTGTGTCTGGATCAGCCAGGTGTGAAGGCAGCTCTTCAAAAGCTTTTTCCACATCACAACTACCTGAAGGCATCTCTCCTACCCCACTTCCTTCCTTCCACCCCTTGCCACAGCTCCTTCTCGCTGTATTCACAACAAAGATTCTCGCCCCGCCATCCCGCCGCCTCGGCTGTAGTTACCAAGGAGAATGTTCCAAAAGCTTAGCAATGATCACAAAAATCCCTGCTCATCGTGCACCTGAGCTCAGGGCTTCTGTGAGCTGCACTCTGCTGCCAGCATTACACCAAAAAAAAAAAAAAGAAAAAGCAAAAGAAAGGGAGAAGAAAGTTTCATTTGCTGGAAACCATCTCCCACCTTCGAAGAAAAGCAAGGATTACACTGATACTTGTCTGTTCAATAGTAAGGAGTAAAGG